TATCTAGATAAAGATAGCTCTTGAATCGCTACTCACACTTACGTGTTCGTCCAATGATTGTGCGTACAGCTGTTGTAATAACCGATCATTCTCACTTAATACGTTAAGTACCTCTTATCATTTGGTGTTCACTACCAGTTTACTCCCTCGTGAGTACTAAGACTACTGGAAACTGTTGGCGTCTGGTGGTCATTATGAAATAAATCTCATTTTTCGTCGAAGAGTCTGCCGTACAGCAGGTAAATTTTCTGTGGAAAAAAATTCACCATAAAGAGTTCTTCCTTGTCCTTGAAATAATTTCAAGCAATCTGTTTTATCTCAATCTCATAAATTTGCTCTATATCATCAATTGAAGCAATTGCTATAATTATTCCTGTGACATATTATGTTCTTCCTTTTCTGTAATCATTTGGTTGTGGTATTTATACTGGATGTTTGGCACTAATATTTCACAATTTTTTTGCTTTTACATTAACATATTACGAAATTGAACTATCAAATAAATACCAATAATTAGAAATAAGCTAAATCGTTTAAAAACTATCAAAATTAAAATAATGCACACCCAATTAGTAGTATTTATTGATAGATCAATTTCGTAACACGTTAATGTAAAAAAATTGTAAAATATTAGTGCCACAGGCTTATATTCCGTTCATTTGTTACAACCTATTTTTTTTCCTACAGTATCGGCCCTCCATTCACAAATCTTTTCTAGTTGATGTTTTTTATGTATGATGTGATATGATGCTCTCATATAAAAGCACTTATAAACGCTTATCTAAAAGAAAATAAATAAGCTTAATCAGTAGGAGCACTTATTCGGTGTATACAGCTATAGAAAGTTAAATAACATTTTGTGCTCGGTTTCTAGTGAAAAAAGTCCATAACTGTATAATCAAGTAAGCGTTTTGTAACTTATGTTTTAAGATACATAATTTATAGAATTGTAACATGTTTTTAAAGTAAGATATAATATTCTTCAAACATACATAGGTTTAAAACTGTTTTAGGTTTTTTTTATAGGAAAAGGGTGACAAGCGAGCACACAGTTCACCCGATGGTAAGTGGTTACTGTGACCCATAGACATCTACATCTATCCTCGATTACAAATCAAATTGCAGATGCGTTGTCACCCGTGAGGACTAAGATGGAATGCCTCGTTTGCAGTAAAAAGAGTCTACAGATCTCTACACTCACCATACAAAACACAACAGTATTAAACTGCTATTTTATGCTGGTATTCTGTGAAAGCATGGTCTTTTCCCAGTCTAGGCGACCCATTCGTGCTACAACCATAATATAGATGCCCCCCATGCCGTAATACAGTATCGTACAATGGAGTGGCACATTGCATGCTATAACATTATGGAAATATTTATGTTAGCACTATTACGTATTAGTTTGAATACATAGATTAGTTTTCAAACGTGAGCAGCCATAATGGTGATATGTGGATTGAACGACAGATTGTGCTCGACATCTATCTAATTAACACAATAAAAAACGGAAGAAACAGCATTGTCGATAGCACGCAACCTTGTGGAACACTGGCGTTAAATAGGCTTGTATACAGAGAATTCACGATCTATTACAACTTTGATGCTCCGATTAGCAAGGAAACTAGTGATGCGACCACACAATTTCTCGGTAAGCCCATAGGAAGGGAGTTTCGAAAGAAGCGCTTTATGCCAGACCCGATCGAAGGCCTTCCCTATATCCAAACTAACGTTCAATGCTTCCCCTTGGAATCTACCGCCTCCGCCCATTTATGAGTCAGGTAGACCAAAAGATCATTGGCTGATCGACCACGACAAAAACCGTATTTGCAGTCACTAATCAGCTGGTGATCCTCAAGATACTTCATGAGCTGGCAGTTTACAATGGACTCCATTATTTGAAGAACAAGAACTTGATGGCGATAGGCCTTTAAATGGACGGGTCTGAGTGTTCGCCGTTTTTAGCGATTGCGTGGACTAAAGCTTTTTCCCATGAATTCGGAACTACGCCATGAGAGTAGGAGTACTGGAAAAGACGCGATAAAACGAGTGTTAACTTCGGAGCACACGTTTTCAGCACAATGGAAGGGACTCCATCAGGTCCACTCGACATGCTGACTGGTTTCTTGCTGGTTATTCCCAGGACAGAGGTTATTTTTTGCGAACCAGTGGTTAAATGAAAAAATTGACTTTCAATAAGTATTGTTTATAATCTACATTGAATAAAAAGTTTCTGTTTCTGTTTCTGTTTCCTGAAGTATCACATCAGTGACAAAATCAGCAACAACGCTGGGATCGTTTGGCGAGAAGCAAATCCGCCCCCCAAAGGTAGGATGCAAAAAAGACCACATCCTATCCCAATCGACCAACAAATAATGCCAAACACGGCGGCAGCCGTGTGCAGAATGCAGCCGCGACGTTAATGTGACTGGCACCACACTCCGAACAAGAGAATGATCCAACGACCCTAGAGGGACGTCGACGGAAACCTCATATCCATCCGTATGAGAGGTCAACGGAAGGTCCAACAGGGAAGTTATATGATCTTCCACATTTAGAATCCGCGTAGGCGATATAACCAGTCGTGTCAGACCATATGCCAAAGCAAAGTCATAAGCAGAGCTCCCTGCATGATCGGTTTGACGTGCACGTTAAAACGTGCGTGTTCGTTAAAATCGCCAAGGATCACAATCTCTGCGGATGGGATCTGAATCTGAGATATTTGGACGTGGTCGATGAGTCGGTCTGTTTCGGTATTACCGCTATGGGATCTATAGAGGCACGCGTATACGCGGGGGAAGGTCGTCGCTGTCTACCTTCAAGACTGCCGAGGCTTCCAAAATAGATGTTCTCTCTGACGTATACGTAAAGTCCAGCCCGGGGCACAAAGGAATGTTCTAATTTGTACCCCAGGTAGGAGAGATATGAAGTATCAGCTGGAGAGGACGCCTGAGTCTCGGTTTAAAAGAGCATGGCCGGCTTCACCGCCTCCAGATGATAGTGGACAGCGTTAAGGTGGACATTTTATATCATTACCATGCTAAGAAACAGTAATGCCATGAAATATTTCCATAAATAAGTCATACTTATCAAATAGTCGGTTTTACCACATAATTGAGAAAAATAAACTAAGTCAAAGTGTAATTATAACTTATTTTCACAAAAAATTGCAGATATCTGATTTTACCAGTAAACCCTCGCTCTGACGTAAAACCTTTTTGGTAAAAAAAGAATGATTAATCATTCTTTTTCGTCCCAAAATTGATACAATAACACAATTGACGAAGATTTCGAGTAGCATACGTACATATAAAAAAGAACATATTATCATATTTGAATTAAGATCCTCCTTCTATCGTTCGATATCCAGGTATAAACAAATATCTGTCTCATTTACAGAGAGTTCCATTAATAAAGATAATAATGGAGGTTATTTCAGTTGTTAGAATTGCGTAAAATAACGTTTTTGTAAACATTATACATGAGTTGTAATCTTTATTAACAATTAAAATAGCTAAGCACGTTTTTTGTAAACCACTTACCGGAACGTTTTTGTTACCAAGTTGCTTGATCCATGTTAATATACACTGTTCAAGTTCAGGATATTCTGATGAAAGTACACGTTTTAGTTTACCTGGTCCCTCAGAACATTGAGACTGAATTTCATCTTTATTCTGGATGATTTTACAAAGAATAGATTTTGGCACATTAAATTCATAGATACACAGACACATAGACATCATCACGCGTCTTTCCACTTTCATAAACGGATATTAACTTTAGTTTTTCACGTACTGATAAAGATTTAAACCTTCGCTTCGGCATTGTTAAAAAAACTTTTGGCAATAGAAAGCCAAACTAAACCTGCAGGTCACTTTTATACAATGAGTCAAGTGCGGAATTCATAGGTAGAATAAGAATTAGTAAACAAAACGGTTTACAAAATATAGTCTCAGTAAAAGAGGTAAAAAATTAACTCGCCGTTTCAATTATAGAGGTAATTATTCCGATAAAATTGAAAGAACTAATCCCAGATATAGAGGTTTTTTATTACTAGTATATTGTAAAAGTCCCGCTGGGTTTCTCCGATGGTTACTTTGCGAACCAGCAGTAAAGTTGAAATGACTTCCAATAAGTGTTTTTGAAATCTATATTGGATAAATATGATTCTATTATATTTTAAAGGACATAGTGGAATATTAGGCTTGAGTATTTTTTGATATCTTATCCAACTTTGCTGGTTTAGCACACGTATATATTATCGATTTCGCGTCCAGATTTGAATTTTTCGGAGTATTTTTTATTAGGACACTAGTTTCTTTAAATGTGTAATTTGTTGGGTAGTGTATAATCTTTTTATATGTAAGTTTCTGAAATTAAAAAAGTGGAGAACGAACTAGCAAGACGGTGACAACAGTCACACCTTTTTTTTTCTATTGGAGGAAAATTTAGATTTTTTTAGCAAATTAGCTTGAAACAATTATTTGTAAGCCATTTAATACTTGATCCGTGCGGGATTTGAACCGTGAAGGCCCTCAGCCCCATAATTCATTACATCAAATTGCGATTATCACGAACAAATAGATAGACAGACGCATTTTAATATATATGCGAAAGGTTACTACATTATATCTGAGTTCCCTTTTTCTAATAGTTATAACATTGTCCAATATTTATCGGAATAATATACAATGCAATAAAGCACTATAATAAAATATATAAAGAATTATATTAAAGGCCTGAGACGTGTCCTTTTAAACTACTGTTTATATCTATTATTTTTAATTTGAAGTTATTTCATGTATCGAATTTTAAAATCTGTTAAGGAAAATAATCCGCATAGTGTAGAAGTGGCATTAGAATTTACTAAGATATATATACACGCGAATTCTGACAGTAACTCATATTAGGATGACAATTGTGTAAGGACGTGTACCTATTGAGTGATACTGATACTTAAATTGTATTTATTATTCATAATAGAAAAATCGACTTTAAATATGATAGTTGGGTTATTTTTAGTTGTTGTATTTCTTACTATTGTAATAAACAGATGGAAGTCGTGGAGAATTTTGAAACTTTCGAGACAGTTGCAGAATAAATTTAAAGCATACCCATTAGTTGGACACGGGTATGTGTTTAGTGGGTCCGATGTAGGTAAGTGAAAATTCAATACTTTCAAATTGGGAAGAAACGGCTTTATAAAAGTTTCTTTTACCTTTTATAATTATTCGTCTGATTGGATTTATAAAATTTTTAATTCTTGTTACGGAAAAACAAACTTGCTACTTGTTAATTAGGTAATAATACATTTTATAAAAAGCTTTTTAATTTTTTTAATGTTAAAAGGACTTAAAAACTTGAAATCGATCTGATCATTTTGGATAGAACAGTTTACTAGACGTAATAGAACCATGCTTTGTATGGAGTCGGTGTAGGATCACGTTCTCACAGAATACCAGCGTAAAATACAACTTAATGCTGCTACGTTTCGTATGGTAAGTGTGGGTAAAAGAGGAGAGAACCAGAAACCCTTTTTATTGATAACGATGCATTCCATCTTAGTTCTGTGCGGTGACAACATATCTGCATTTGATTCTTAATTGAGGAAAAATGTAGATGTCTATGGTACACAGTATCCTTTTACCATCAGGGTGGACTGTATGCTCGTTTTCTTCCCCATTCTATTAAAAAACTGAAAAAATAAATGCTACCATAAACATAAATGTGAAAGGGGCAAGAGCAAGAACGATTCAGTCGACATTCTATGTTATCGGCTTTTTTCAAATAGTTACTTAAATGATAGAATCTATAGCAATGTAAAACTTACTTGGAACTGCTTTGTATCTTAGGGTCCGTTCAGATCTCAACACGTTTATTCACAACTGGATGTTGTTTGTACCGAACTTGGACCCCTTTTCACATTAATGTTTTTGGTGGGATATCATTATTTGAAAAAAGAAGTTTTATTCTTTTACTAACCTCAATAAATAATTAACCTCCAATAATTTTTTCGCGTTTATTTTATTTTAATTTTTGACGGCTAATCAATGAGTTGCAACGCTGAGGGCCACGAGTTTGAATCCTGGGTACGTCGAGTCTGAACGATTGTCCTTGTGAAGTTTAATTATTTAAACTACCCCCAAGTTACAGGATAAAATCCTTAGTGTAGAGCTAACATTTAAAAAAATGTTCTACGTTAATATCAAATTCCATGTTTTAAAGTAACCTCAAAATGACTTAAATTTTTCGTGAGTTAAGAGAGTTAGATAACAATTACAATAGTGTATAAATTCATTCGTAAAATTTGATATTCTAGTTACGTAAGGAGTCCTTACGATGTGTGCAGAGTTGCAAATGTCATACACATCATATTTTAACTCAATAATGTATATTAATCGCGGAGTCAGGAAGCAAGGATGATTGAATATTGGATCCTTTTTTACATTCGCCCGCAAGGCACTGGCAAGGCAACGGCGCGGTATCGGTACGATGCCGGGCTCCGTTTTTCCACTAGTACAGAGCTAATGCCATATTTTTGGGCAGTACTAACACAGACTTCTGTTCTACAACATATATAAATGTTCTCATCAAGTCATCAAGTCATCGTATTTGTTGGTTATATCTCTTACATTTAATATGAAAATATATAAGTTAATTTACGCAAAGAAGTTAAACCTTGAACCTTGAAGAAGGAACGTATTATGTCCTGTTTTAAAAGTTGAAAATGGACTCCAAAAATATTTCGACCACTTCTGCATGACCAAGGAGACATTTCATCATTCTAAGCTAGGTCCACACTTGTATCGTTTTAGTGTATCCATGGTGTATCAAATTTCCGACGCGTGGCATCGACGCGTTTAATTTTCGCTAGTGTGGAGGCATAATGATACGCGATCATGTTACACGTCGTAGCTTGATACACTCAATCGTCGTATCGGATACATGTATCATGATCGGCAGAATGATCGAAGTATGAAAACATTTTGTACTATGTCACGACACGTCTATATCATTTGATATATGATAGACCGCGATCCATCTCGAGGTAGCTTATTACGATCATCAAAGGGGATACGCAATGCCTGTAAATCAAACTAAATCAAACAAGTTTTTGTATTTCCTACTTTAATGTTGAAACTGTAAAGTAATGCTCTTCCGCTATGTAGGTTTCGGTTTTCAAATATTTCTAGCTACCACCAACGATGTATCTGTCTTTTTCTTATCCTGGTTACACTCATTGCCGATTATTGAGCGTCTAAATATGACGATACGCGTTGGTGACACGCTGACAAGGTACAGTATCGTAAGTGTCATCCAAACCCGCTAGTGGCAAACTCAGCCAACTACTTTCCTATACTAAACGTCGCGCTGACTTTCCGTAGACCACGTAACGTACTTTTTGATCCACCACGACCGCTCGATCTCGTCGACACAAATCTCGTAGGTACGTCACACAATTTACACCTACACGAAATGGGACAAGCACCAATAGAATAACGGATGGAGCATGTCGCACCCGTAGGCGAGTACGACGCCGCGACGTATATGTTTAGATAAGATAGCTCAAAAACCATTTCAGAGGCGACATGATGATTGAAACATTACCAAGTCATAAACCATCATCATCATCATCATTATCCTCATCTTGATTGCCTTTCCCTCGTTAATCAGCCTGAGTTAGATTAAGCTGTAAGAGATGCATAGACTACCAGCGCTAACATCACTGTATAAAGGTATCGTAAGTGTGGACTTGGTTTATGGCATGACTGCGGCAAAACATAGTGAGAAATAAGATATGGTCGAAATGGGCGTCTACAAATACTCGGTACGAAGCGCCTGATTTTGAAATTCATGATGACACAAGTGTGGACCCAGCTTTACAAGTCAACTTTTAGTCTCAACCTCAACGCACCCTTACTACACAAGGCTACAATACGTACACAATGAATTTTATCTGCCGGGATCGAACGAGATGCTTGCTGTCCCGGCACTGGCGACGGCGCCAGTGAGAGAGATACTTAATACAAGTTGGAATACAAAGTAGGGTATATCGTTCCGATGTATTCGTTTTGTGCGATTAATACTCTTAATATTATTATTAACCCGGTGTGAGTATGGCAGAAAAGTAGTACAACTACTGTATGGTTGGTCAAAATGATCCGAAGTTTGAAATGTATATTATTTTAACATTTTAAATAAATTTAATGAACTTTTTAATAAAATGGGATATATGATTTAAACAATAAAAATTAGTTGAAAAAAGTTGAAAAATTGTGTTATGTTTAGAAATTTATATGTACTTTGGAAGGCTATAAAAATCTTATGAGTAGATGATGATATGAGAGAAAAAATTAATCTTATGAGTAAATAAACAAAAATTCTACCTTTTTATATTTATTTGTTACTTTTTATAAAATTAATGTTTTATCTTTAAAAATCTAAATCTAAAGTTACATTCAAGTCTTAAAATTAATCACTGTCCGCGTTTAAATCATCACATCCGCTGCAGTAAGTAATGATGAGCTCTTGGCAAATAAACTTGTTGCATCAGATGCTGTAGGTGTAGCTAGTTTTATTATCTTTTATGGCAGGACATATTTGACACCGTTTCCTTATACCCAGAATTTCAGCATTTGTCCCTTATGACGGTTCTCCTGTAAATTCCCTTATTCTTTGCGTATCTCTCTGGACAAACGTAATACGTCTTTGCGAGATCTCAAGTGATCCTCCATAAATGAAAGTCCTAAATTTTTCAAAATTTGCTTCGCTTTATATCTTGTAAATTGTTATTTTTGTATACGATATACACGTTAATAGCGGTCATACTTAAAACTCCATAAAAATAGTCAGGGACCATTTTTTGAGATCCGAATTACATCGTACCTAAAACAAAGTTCATCCGCAACGTCTACCCCACCCTTTCTTACATTATAGAATGTATTTATTTCTGGGTATAGATGGGTCATATTTACCTTTTTTGCGTTTGACGACATCTAATGTCATGTCATGTTAATAGGCATAAGAAACAAAAGGGGTTGGGTGTTAACTCCAGCTATGACCCAACCTAAGAGACCCCGGGTTAAATACTTTGTATCGCACTTACAAATATCTTATATAATATTCGTTAACGCATCCTCTATTTGTATAACACTATGTAGTCATGCATTGACGGACCGAATCACACGAATTTTAACCTTCCGGGGAAGAAATGTGATTATACTGGTATCCCAACCAATATGAATTATGAAGCTATATGCACCTATATGAGCCCCCATTGACAACGTATAATGTCATTGTGAATTTTTCGTGTGAAAGCCGTGAGTCACATTTTCAAATTAAAAAAATAATCAAAATTAGTTCTTTAATTGAAATTTCTGGATTTTAGTAAAAGCAAAATTTATTGAAGATTTATTGAGAAGGAATCTTGTTTTAAAAAACGTATTATGGACTTATTGTCCACGTTTTGTACGATTTTAATGTAGGTAATTTTTGCATTTTAAAGAACTTGTAGGGTAGAATTTATTAAAAACACAAAATCTCAAATCTTTGTATGATACGGGACGAGCGTCTGTACCTAACTTCATAATATTATGTATGATGATTTTAAATAGATTTATGTGATGAAAATTGTACCTGCGTAATTAAAACGCAAAATGTAAAATCCATTTTCGAGACAGAACGAGCGTCTGTACATACATATTTTGTAAAAAAACTTAGTATGCTTATTTATTCTAAATTGATATAGTTATTAAAAATCATATAACCTACAGCCAATGGTAGCAGCGTAATAAAAACGCAATATAAAATCTATGTATGCGACAGAACGAGTTTGTATAATGATGTCTTATATTTACGCGAACACTTCACATTGAATAAAATTATTTATAAGGTTTTTATCGTGCTTAATTAAATTAATTTTAATTCCTGACGTTTCGCGTGCTTTACAGCACAACAATATTCATACAAAGACATATTAAACATATACGCGTAATAAAGTAACACTGCTATTGTTCATTAACTATGGTGAATATTGGGATTTTTCATTAGTGGTTAATTAGTTTATTTTATTAGTGGATAATTTTTTATCACTTTGTAATATTCCACGACTGGACATGGATAATGCTTCTTTAAGAACGGATTGAGAGGTCTCTAAT